AGTAAGGACAGCGGCCACACTGAAAAGCCTTCACCTCGCCGTGGGAACGCGTGTGCCTCATCATCTCTACTGCCGTCTGGAACGATCGCGGGCACTGCTGGCACACGAAAGGCTTGACGCCGCTGTGGATGCGCATGTGCTTGGTCAGATTGGTGTTTCTCGAGAAGCTCTTGGAGCACACGTTGCAGGTATATGGCCGCACGCCCGTATGGACAATTGTGTGCTTCTTGAGATCGGAGCGACGCACGAATCCCTTCCTGCAGTGCGCGCACACATACGGACGATCCGGATCGTGCAGTGTCTTAATGTGCGAAATCAAAGCGGGCCGGGTGACCATCTTGAGGTTGCAGTAGGTGCAGCAGAACGGTGCGTTAGGGTCGTGGGCGCTTCGTTCGTGCTCCTGACATTCGGCGGGCAGGGTGAAGCCCAGATCGCAGTACTGACAGAGGAAGGCGCGCTTTGGCCGTGCCGTCGCGGAGTTGGTGTCTGCCGCAACCGCCTTTTGGGCAGCCATCTGGGCCGCATCCATGCCCAGCGGCATGTCCACATCCTCGCCATTCTGACCTTCTTCCTCATCTTCCTCGTCAAAGTCTTCCTCCTCCTCATCATCGTCGTCCTCGTAGTTTTCGTATTCTCCGTCGGAGCCGATTGCAAACTCATCTTCACTGGTCTCCGCCAGCTTTTCCGGGTCGACATCCACGATGATGCAGCCCTCCTCGGGCAAAAACTCTCCTGGATTGCCATTGAGACCGGGCCGGTACTTGGCATCCTCCCTGATCAGGTCCTTGAGCTGCTCCTGCAGCGCCTTCTCCCGTTCCTGCATCCCTCTCCTTTGCTCAAAGGCATCCTCCAGGATCTCCAGGCACTCCGGGCATATGAGCTCGGACAGAAACTCGTGGCGATCATACTGCAAGAAGGGGAGTTACTATTGGAGCAGTGTGATGGACGAAGGACACTCACCTGAACGCTCCACAGAGCCTGGGAAACCTCCGCAATGGACACATCTTTGCAGCACTCCACCGAGCTCTCAAAAATATTCGGCGAGTTGGCATCCGTCTCGCGGTGGCACAGACGGCAAGTGCACACCTCCCGTTCCTGGGTCACTTCGGTGATCTCCGGTATATGCATTTTGTGACCGGATGTGCCGGAAACTACCTATTTTGGCTAATATCAGCAACAAAGCCGCGCCGGCAGAAAAAAAACGCGTTTTGCATTAGAGATGGGAAAACCTCTACGATAGTATCGATACATAGCAGAATTTCGCAACATGTGGCAATCGGTTTTTAGGATCTATCGATTTACCCTGGCACAGTGGGTGTAGCCGAACAAAACACAATGGCTAAATCCCTTTCATTCATTTTATTTAAAAAATAGTTTCGAAAATATGTTTTTTTTATGTAGGTACATTAAAATAAAACAAAATTAACTATTGACGTTAGATACCTATCTTAAAAAAAGAAAAATAAATAAAACTTGTTTGTAAATAAAAGTTTTGATCAGTTTAACTGTTTATAATTATAATGCTCACAGTTCTCTGTATCTGATTTTTACACAATGTCTGGTTTTAATACTATTTTCAAATTTTAAATTTCAATTAAACCAATAGTGTTTAAACTGTACCCAGGTAGTACGTTATAAAACATGTACCTAACATGTACCTCCTCACCACCGCACACAGGTTAAACGGAAACGCGGCAAACATGCGAAGCGAAAGCTTTTTCAATTGCGAACGGACTCTTGATTAAAGCGGACGTTTCTCTTGCGTGCCGTGCCGGTCATACTTTCGCGGCTCGGAAATCTTAGTAAACGCGGGAATATTCCTTTGGTTGATCAGGATTAAGTGCTTGCTCGGTTTTTATTAAATTGCAGTGCGTTACAAGTTTGTTTGCAATTGGTCACGATCCGTTTGGTGGAATTATTGGAATTTGTTCCACTGCAGATGCTGTAAACTACACTAGAACGCACTTACACGGCAGCAAAACAACTGTTACGCCTACGCAGCAGCAGCAGCAACAACAATAACAGAGAGGAATTAGCAGCGAGCAGCAACAATTTTCCACCCAAAAGGGGAAATAACTGTTTCGTGAGTTTGTACTATTGAAGTTGTTGTTTTTTGTTTGTTGTTTTCGTCCCCCCACGTACATTCTGTCTTTATTATGCTCCTGTTCCTTTTCCTTCTTCCTCTCTGCTCTCCTAAGTCATGCGGTTTGTGTGTTATTCCTGGAGGAATAAAAAAACCGCAACCCCCCTGCACATTTATGACTCTCTTTCCTGATGGACAGAGAGAAATTGGTTAGCTGATATGATGATAAACTTGATCCACTCACAATGAATAAAAGGATTATTTTCATGTAAAAAATACATTTTTTAATTTTGGATAAGTACGTATCACTAGTACAAGTACAAGTACAAGAAATATTACTTCTTCTGGTAAAGTTACAAGCATTTATAAAAATATATTGGGACTTTTATATTTCATTTTAATTCCTTACTGTTTTATCTGATATTGTTTCCTGTGTACCAGTCGTCCTGTTGACACCGTTAGACCCCAACTTTACCTTCGCCGCTCTTTAACTCCCTTGGGTTATACTTTTTTGGCCGCTAGGTCCCTGTTGATTTTATGTTATTGGGATTCCTCACTTTCCCCAATGGCCATAGCGTGTGAAATAATGATTTTGTGCGTTAATAATTCATTACCTTCAAGAGGAAAAAGAGAATTTATAATATCATGAATGTACAAAAGTTGCGACCAAAAAAAAGTACATATCCATTAACCTGTTTAAATGATGGTTCAAAAAGTGGCAGACTTCTAAATAAATTATAATTGAAAGCCCAACTTGCTACACAGAATGGATTTATATCATTTCCTGTAAAAGCAATGATATCACAACACTGAATCAATAAATAAATTACGCGATTGCAGATAATTTAGTGTTTACATTTGCATAAACTTGAAACATAGACAAAATGGCAAGTGACTGGCACATAATAATGGTGTGCTATTGAAAAACAAATAAGATTAAGGTTCCAAACATTCCACTCGGCAATTAAGCGGGAGACAATGATCATTCGACGAGGAAAGTCCGATCATCAGATCAAACGAATCAATGCCGTGACTCAGGTTGTCTAGTTGTCTAGTTATACCCGTTACTCGTAGAGTAAAAGGGTATACTAGATTCGTCGGAAAGTATGTAACAGGCAGAAGGAAGCGTTTCCGACCCCATAAAGTATATATATTCTTGATCAGGATCACTAGCCGAGTCGATCTAGCCATGTCCGTCTGTCCGTCTGTCCGTCTGTCTGTCCGGATGAACGCTGAGATCTCGGAAACTATGAGAGCTAGGCTATTGAGATTTGGCGTACAGATTCCTGAGCTTCTTACGCAGCGCAAGTTTGTTTCAGTAGACTGCCACGCCCACTCTAACGCCCACAAACCGCCCAAAACTGTAACTCCTACAGTTTTGATGCTAGATAAAAAATTTTAACTGAAATGTATTGTTCTCATCAATACCTATCGATTGACCTAAAAAAAAGTTTGCCACGCCCACTTAAACGCCCACAAACCGCGAAAACCTGTGACGCCCACAACTTGCATGCTAGATAAAAAATTTTAACTGAAATGTATTGGTGTCGTCAATACCTATCGAATGATCCAAAAATAAATTTGCCACGTCCACTCTAACGCCCATAACGCTTAAATCTGTCTACCGCCGGTAGATGGCGCATTTTAATCTCGCTTTGCTGCTTGCATATCTCCATTTCCCTTTGAGTAACGGGTATCTGATAGTCGAGGTACTCGACTATAGCGTTCTTCCTTGTTTTAGATTCTCCTCGTTGACTTTGAACTTGACTCGATGTGCTGACGCCGACGCTAAATTGGCTGGCAAATTGAGGCTGCAGGGGAGCTCCAGACCCGGGTCCGGACTTTGACTACTCTACAACACGCCCGTCACATGCGTGCGATCTGTGTAATATTATAGTGCCTATCATTCCCCAGCACGGAATCATGCCACAATCTTATCAGTAACCTGAGCTTATGCTAGCGGAATGAATCGATGTTCTGCCGTCGCACTCCGAAAGCTCTGCTGCGATTGTTCAAAAGATAATGAAAGTCGAACCCCCCTCATAACGCCTTTATAACCCCTTCTTTTGCAACACAGTAAACGGGCGGTGCCGGTGGAAATTGTAAACAAAAAGTCAAACACTTTCAGTTGACAAATTGATTTCAGCACACTGGCAAAAATGTAATTTGCACATTTAACCCCTGTTAAAGGGGGTGTGCATATTAATATTTTTAAAATTTATGAATACTTTATAAAGTAACAGGTTGTAAAACCAAATGGGTTATATACATTATATTGTGGTGTAATTACCCCGGCAATAAAGGATCCACTTTTGGTAAAACAATTAAAAGTAGTGCTTAATAGCAAAGTAAGCCGACAGAAAAGCATTTCAGTATAATAAATCTTAGAGAACCCGTTTTTATTAAAAAATATAGAAATTAAATTACATATTTTAAAAATGCTGTGTGTTTAAAACATTAAAATAAAAGATTACCGAGTGCCCTGGAGCTGTACTTACAGGTAAAATCTGAAATATCGAAAATTAACTGAGGAACTTTTTACTAGAAAAATGTCTGGTTTAGTCCTAAACAAAACACGAATATTTCCTTGAATCCGTTTCTTAGAAACCCGATAAGCCTGCAAAATAACGATAAATACCTGGAAATATTATCGCCAAACGTTTGTTTTCTGCAGAATTATTAAAATAAGCCATTTACGACCCATTACAAAGCCACCATATCGAGAACCTGTTATCGCATTGCAAATTATATATACTTAATATTCGCCCGTCACAATATGGCATTAGAAGAAAAATTCATTAAGATTTCCGTACATGCTCAGGCAAAAATCAATGAAAATCCAAGGCAACTATGCCATAACCATCTGATCCCAGCGTTTGATTAAACTAAACTACCCGTTCAACACTTAATTACTCCCCAAAAGGTCACGACCAGTATCAACAGTTTGACATCATTTCAGAGCTCGAATAGCCGAAAGTTGTATCTGTAACGATAATTATATAATTGCTATGGCCAACATTAAAAGTAGTTCCGTAAATAATTGGGCTCTAGTCATAAACAGAATTTTTAGTTCGACTAAACAATTACAAATTGTCTATCATTCTGATTAGAGCACTTATGTCAACGGCTGATTTTAATATTGAGATGCGGTGGTAAAGATAAAAGGATCATGTGATCAATTTTTAACCAAAATGTACTAGTCTCAAGTAGTCTTTTCTTACTTTGAAGTACCCTTGACAACAGGGCAAATGTTAAATAATACACGCAACATTTTGTGGGTAATTACTCGAGTTATAGTTGTAGGGTGTGGGGTAATTGGGTCTTATAGATGAGCTTCGACCTGTATGTCAAAGTCTGAACTGTGGGTTCCACCCGACTTTTGCCTGTATTACTACTTCAGTTGTGCAGTATTTGATGAGGTAATGAGTTTACCTGCTAATTGTTCATTTCAAAGTAAGAAAAGTAACACCCAAACACCTAGAACAAATTTCTTTAGTTCGAATTGGGTTTAATTATACTTGCGTATCGAGTTTATGTTCTTTAGATTAGACCAGCATAAGTGTTTTTTTATTACGTGTAATCTTTTGATTGTGCGCTTTCATAAATAATGAAAAAAAAACTGTCAATAAGTGCGCTAGTTGTTGTATCTATAAAAAGATTATCATACCCCAAACCAACAGTAATCTATTAGCTAAAGTACATACCTCTTTTGTCCGCCACTTAAGCCATATCGCCAATTTGATTACTATTCAGATCTCTCCAATCTTTGTACTATTCGTCATCGCTCTACCAAGAGCTGATAACGAAGTTTATGGATCTCAATCGAACGTTTAACTTATAATGTTTCACCGTGATATCAAAGTTCAGTACCTTAATCCAAACAAAAACAGTTTAACAATTTCTGATATGCCTTTGGCAATGCCCAGTTTAAACGGTCCCACCTGGCATTGGTCTTTTCAGTGTGATTTGTCCAATCGGTCGTATCGGACGTGTGCCGACCTTGTTAAGGTCTTCCAAAGGTTTGTTACCAGAGGGATATCACTCATGAATTTATAATCGACCTTGAGATATCTAAAAGTGCTGACAATAAAGCATAAGAATCAACACAATTAGAGTTAAAAATTTTGTTGGTTGTTTTCTAGGTGCTTATTTTGAATGGGCCATTACGTTTAGAGTTCAGAAACGCAGTGCATGTTGGTTTATTGACCAATCAAGACATTAGGCAAATTGGAGAGAATTGAAATATTAAGCAATCGCGTAATAATCCCAAGTCAGTTTATATGCACAACGGCTAGAGTCGATTTCAGTAACGGATATAATTAGAATTAGCTAAATCAAAAATTAAGTACAATAGGTATTGTAAGTAACAATAAATGAATACTGGTTTCAGAAAATTCAAATTTTTTGAACACCTTGGGCATTGGGAAAGTTTTTCAGAAGTCTTAGTTATAGAAAGCTAAGCATTAAATGTCCAATATAAAATAACCATATATTGAAAAAAGCTGTCCAACTTTAGGTTCGTCCCGCTAGCTTTTTAAAATTCTAACCAGTACTCAAAAAATTAAATCTTTTTCATTCTTTCAGAAACAGGGACCACTCGAATTAAGTAGCTTCTAAAAATGGCTTGCACCTGCGAAGTAATTGGCCTTGCCTGCGTAGTGGCCTTAATACTGAGCGCTACGGCGAAAGCTCCCTATCAAATGAGGATGGTCTTTATATTCTTTGGAGCGGGTGCTATAGTCCTGATTTGCGTGCCTTTTATGATCCTGCGACCGAGGGACTACCGAAATGCGCTGTAAGTATTCCTCTTGGAGTTTACTTTGTTAGGATATATTTTGATTTATAATTTGGTATTTGCAGCGTTCCAGCTTGGTGCTTCCGGCAGCTGTGCCGCCTGATGGGCATCACGATGGAGGTTCGGGGCCTGGAGAACGTTCGTAAGGACCACGGTGCTGTGGTGATCATGAATCACCAGAGTGCCGTGGATCTGTGTGTGCTGGCCCACCTATGGCCGGTAATCGGCAGGGCAACGGTCGTGTCCAAAAAAGAGGTGCTCTACCTTCCCTTCTTTGGCATCGGAGCCTGGCTGTGGGGAACTCTGTTCATCAATCGGTCACGCAAGACCGATTCGATCAACTCTCTGCAGAAGGAGGCCAAGGCGATACAGGAGCGGAACTGCAAACTGCTGCTCTTCCCGGAGGGCACACGCAACTCCAAGGACTCTCTGCTGCCCTTCAAGAAGGGCTCGTTCCACATCGCCCTCCAGGGCAAGAGTCCCGTCCAGCCAGTGGTCATATCCAAATACTCATTCATGGACGATGAGAAGAAGACTTTCCGCCCTGGCCACGCCCTCATCCACATCCTTCCAGAGGTGTCGACCGAGAAGTATGCGAAGGAGGATGTGCAGCTGTTGATAGACGAGTGCCAGTCCATCATGCAGACGGAGTACACGAAGCTGAGTAAAGAGGGCCAAGCCTTGAGCTCGAAGAAGCAAGCCTAGGACGTGGGTGGGCTACTAATCAACTCAGGTTACATGAAAATAACACCCTGATATACAGTAGTTCCTGCTTGGGGATTTAATTTATATTTAATCTACAAGATTTGTCTAAGCGTGAATAAGAGGAATCGAAATGTAAGGGACGTGGAACCAATTGCCTATTATTAAGCTACACTTCATCGTTAAATGGGTGTATTTTTGATTAATATTAACTGTTTTACCTCCAGCACATGCGTGTGTATGCCTAGAGCTTTTACTGACCAAAAGTCAACAAAAGACATTTTTACAAAAGAAGAAAGCACAGTTGTTAGATGTTTAGCTTTATGTGTATAGCATATTGATTTATATGAGAATAATGAAATGAGACTAACATTTCGCACTGAACAATAAAAGATATGAAAGTAAAAATGAAATGGCGCGCTTTCTTAAATTTAAAAATGAAAAACGATATTTTAAAACATCGATCACATCTGGAGACCTATCGAACAGCTGTTTCTGCCGATAGGCCTCAATGCTATCGCCTGATATCGATTGCCGGCAATGCAAAATATAAACAAAACAATTTGCGAATTAGCTATTTAATTTAGTTTGCTTTGTTTTGTAAACAAAGTTGTTACTAAAATGGCAACTGCCGAGATACATCCTGAATTGGCGGGAGAATCACAACCAGAAGAGGACCCTCCCACTGAGAATTGGGAACCCAAGACTGCATCGGACGCAAAGCCGCCAGAAAAGCTTTACGACATCAATAGAATCCAAGCCTTTAAGGATGTTCCCTTCGTAATAGAACGTGTGGAGACCGAGGACATGATCCTGACGTATGGCACTGCGGCAAAAGAAGTAGAGACGGTGCTCCAAATCCTGCGACAGAAGATTCCTCCCGGTTCAGGAATCGCCCTTCGCATCGCAGAGCACACCCCAGCTTCTTGTCTTCTGATCCTTACGTAGGATTCCTATCTGTTTTTCCTTGTCTTTTATAATATTAATGATTGTAATCATGCAGGATACTCAACCACAAGTGCCACTTCTTTCCCACGGACAAGATGATGCTCTCCCAGGAGCTGCACGATCAGATGTGCGCAGCCGGAGTGGACTTTGTGCTGGTCAATAAACATTTGACTGTTGCACCTTTACACTTTACGCATCTGTTTAGCATAATTTTGTTAAAGGAGGTCTGCAAGCTGTACATGGTGAAGAACAAATCCACTGCATCCAAGAAACCCCTGCCCGCTAATATGTGCTATACCATCACCACCACTGGAAGCACAGGAAGCTCGAAAATAATACATGTGCCTTACGAATGCATCGCCCCCAATATAGTGGCGCTAAGGTAAGTGGTTACTTAATATACCAGTGCCCAAACGTATCTCTATTTCGTTTAAGCCAGAAGCTAAACGTCTCTATGGCTGACATCATTTATCTGGGCACACCCTGCACTTTTGATCCCTTCGTGGTGGAGTTCTTTCTGGCCCTGCAAAATGGCGCAACTTTACTGATCAGCCGCCACTCTATAAGGGATTCCCCTAGCAAGTTGCTATGTGCCCTCTTTCCCGACAACCTGGCCAAACCAGGCATCAGTATTCTGCAGATGACGCCGTCGCTGTTCCGCGGATTTGGAGCCGCCTGTATCAGAGATCGAGTGTTGAGCAGGTCTAGCTCACTCAGGTGCGATAGGGAATTCCCTAAACTCAAGATGGTTTAAGATTCTTTTTATTTGATGTCAATGTACTGAATTTTATCTTACCGTTTTCAGAGTGCTTCTTCTTGGTGGTGAACCGTTTCCCTCGAATGCTGAGCTCGTTACTTGGATGGATCCGAGTGTCCTGCTGCAGAAACACATTTGCAACATCTATGGGATCACAGAGATATCCTGCTGGAGCCTCTTGCACATCGTTCAGTCGCTACAGACCCCAGTGCCTTTGGGCAAGCCCATCGACGAAGACACGGTTATACGGATTCAATTTCAAAACAATAACGATTCGGCACAAGGAGAGCTCTATCTGGGCAGTGCCACGCGGCGTTGCTATATACCAGAAATAGATGACAAAGTGGATTCTTCAAAAGACGATTCCGGCATTTGTTTCAGAGCAACTGGAGATCTGGTCATTCGAGAGAAAGATGGTACATTATTTTATGGGGAGAGGTCAAATGATATGGTGAAGAGGGCCGGTAATCGTATAAGCTTGGGTGAGTTTCATAAGTTAATGTACAAAATAAATGGCTAATTACATTTATTCTTCAGGCATGATTACTCGCAAAATCCAAGAATGTCTGCTTAGCAGCGAACTGGCGGCTTGCCTGTGGCTCGAGGATTTGCAAAAGCTGATCTGCTGCATCCGTAGCTTGGAGCCAAAGACTAGAGTCCAACAGCGGGCCCAGACCTTCGATATACTCTCCAAGGTGTCGATGGCAGAGCAGCCAGATAGATTTGTCTACCTGCAACACTTTCCCTGCAATGTTAATGGCAAACTGGACAAAAAAGAGCTCCTCAAGCTGTGCATTCCCCTGGCTCAACCCGCTCAGCAAATATTGAAGAGTTATCTGCACGACAGACTAGAATGTGTGGAAAAGACTGATGATACTTCGGCGAAAAGGCAGAAAATCGAGGAAACTGCTCCCTGTGGCTATGATTTGAGCTTTCGTCAGGCGGGTGGCACATCCTTCCATGCCATCACAATTTGCCGGGAGATTGGCTTGCAAATGTGCATCGATGATGAGCAGCGGCATCTGTTTGAGATGCTTTTGGACGAGAACGTTCCGTTGCGAACAGTTTTGAGGTTCTTGGACACAGCTAAGTTGGTGGCCAACAATGTCAAGCGGAAGGCCGCGGAGACGGCGGCGGTTAGTTCCTGCCATTCCGGCCTGGTTATCAAACGAATTGAACAGCCGGTGCTCAAGCTTCAGTTTTACTGGAAGGTAAACTTCGAGAAGTGCATTGACTCCCCAGTAAGCGAATACGAGGGACGCTACATATGCGTTGGCGCACATTCCAAAATTTTACGTACTCTGGATCCCCAGACGGGCAACGAACTGAGTATTGTCCGGCTACCCAATCGCATTGAGTGCAAGGTTACGTTTCTCAGCGAAAAACTTGCCATGGTGGGCTGCTACGATGGTTGTCTCTACGGCTTCAATCCTCAAACCGGTGACACTGTGTTTTCCGTGGAAATTGGCGGCATGATTAAATCGCAGCCCCTACTTACCACCGATGGTCGTCGAATTATAGTATGCAGCTATGCGGAGGACTACAATGTCTATTGCTTGTCAGCCGAGCAGCAGGAAGTGCTGTGGTGTCAAAAGATTGGTGAGAAGGCTATCTTCGCAGGAGCTCTGGAGCTGCCCAGCGAACAGTCGCTCATTATTTGTACTTTGGACGGCAGCTGTTCGCGTGTGGCTATCACCGATGGCTCTGTGGAGTGGACGCAGAAGTTCAGGGAGCCCATTTTCTCCACACCTGTCCTACTGGAATCCAAGTCCAATGTCTTTCTGGCCGCCGAAGTGGCTGGCCGAGTTCACGCCTGTCATGTGGGCAACGGAAAAGTGGTGAGTACTACATATCTTTTGGTAATTTTAAACCTGCTCTAACAATTTTAATTTTAATTTAAAGTTGGCCACCTTCAGCACAGAAGGAAACATCTTCTCCTCGCTGGTGGTCAAGACTCCACCCACTTTCATGGGACATTCCTTTGTCGTCTTCGGTTGTATCGATCAACATGTGTATTGCCTGCGATGCAAAACAGGTCCAGGTGCGAAATCTGTGGATTTTGAGTTGCACTGGAAGACCAATGTAGGCGCTCCTATTTATGCCACGCCCAGTTTGCTCACAGTGCAACCGAATGGAATTCTCGCTTGGTGCGGCGCCACCGATGGACGTGTCGTCCTGATGAACTTCAGGAATGGCGAGATTCAGTGGTCTGACAAACTTCCCGGCGAAGTCTTTTCCAGCGCGTGTTATATTGAGAGCCTACGACGGGTGTACGTGGGTTGTCGAGATAACTTCCTGTACTGTCTGGGCATCTAGATATTCAGGAACATTTCAAAAAATTCCATTTTCGAAGTAGCTTTAGCCTAACATGGTGGTTAGGTAATGTGCCTTAATATGATAGAATTTACTTTAAAAATATAAAATTACTTTTTATACATTTTTGAAATATATGTAGTATTTAGATTTCACATTGATGTAATGTTCGGAGTAATGAACAATAACATTGCATATTATTTTGTATATAAACTTTTTTTACAATTTTGAATAACTCATTTAAAAATGCTTACCTTCAAAAACTAATTACATTTTTTTTTTGTATTTCGGTTTTCTTAAAATCGTAAAACATTCGGTTTGATACTTTTCTATTTCGATTCGTTTATAAGAAACCTGATAAATTCACAATCCAGGGTGCTACAAAAATATGTTTCAACTGCATTTGAATCGACTTTCTGCAGCACCCCGGAATATGCTTCGTTAAATTTATAAATTAAGCTATCTTATTTTTATACTGAACAGATATGTTCAGCTGTTTCATCGGTGGAGCCCTCAGAACACCTGTGTGTCCAGATCAAACCGCACCTGCTACAGCACCGGCAGCACAGAGATGTTGCCGAGCACTTCGACTTGGTGCTCTCCAGCTCATGCTGCATGTCCTCGATGACTTGTTGCTCACGATGCGTTCGCCTTGGAGCTCTGTAAAGGGCACTGGGCGATCTCCTCTTTTTTAACATTTTCGGCTCTTGTTTCATACGCTGCTCGCGTTCTTCCCTTTTTTGGGCTATCTGAGCTTTTCGTTTCTGCTTCCGGACAGCTTCCAAAACCATCTCTGTGGGAGTCTTCGCCTGTTTGGCTATGTATGATGCCCACACTTCCCGCCTTTTCTCCAGGAAGGCTTCATTAAAGACTGTACGATCGTAATGACAACTGTCGCCAGAAGTTTTCGATGCTTCTTCCTCTTCTGTTTTTTTCAGATCTTTTTTCACGAGCATTTTCTGTATCCTTCTCTCCCTGGAAAGCACCTGCAATTGATGGCTTATATTTTGAAAATTTCTTTCCAGAACTGGCAGTTTCTCCTCGTATCTGTCATCCGACATTGATCTTCCAATTGATAATATTAGGATGTTGAAATGCTGAGGATCAAATTTATATTTCTTGAAGATCTCGAGGTCTTCCTCGTTTATGGGCACGTGCCTACCCATGATCATGCGTTCCATACGCTCCACGTCCTTGTCAAAAATCCTCGATCTCAAATAATCCATTTGTGTGCGGACAAAGTTTTCGTGAAGAGGTCTAATTGGGGAAATTTCTGTCTCGGAAGACTTTTTTAAGATAGCAAAGGATCCATAGTTATATGGTACCTGGTAACTGGACCGAATAGATCTCAAAGAAATTTGAGACTTTCTGGAACCAGTTTCCGATCTCCCACCGTCCATTTCCATCTTCAGCTGCTTTACATGATTGTATAAAAGCTTTTGCACATTATGAATATATCGCCACTTGAGAATTTTCTTTAACTTATGAGCTTCCTCGGGGGTTTTAGCATTATCCGACCACTCCTTATACTTCCCAAGCAAATCGCCCAGCACTGCATCCATTTGATCCCAGGGCCTATACTTTGAAATATTTCCCAGAAAACTGTTGGAATGCAGTCTTGTAAGATCGATTTTCTTGTGAAATCTTTTTGGTTCATCCAAAGTTAATTTCCTTTGTTCGTATAAACGCTTGATAATCTCAGTGGCCACTGACGACATGGGAAGCTGAGGCTTTGCGGAATACCTTCTCATACCATCCAATGATTTGGAGGAAGGTATTCCAAAAAGCGTGGAAACTTTCCTTGTTAAAAAAGGTAGAGTACTTTTATTAAATATCAGAGACTCACTTATAGGAGGATTAAACATTGAAGTGGCTTCAAAATAGTTTGACGAAATCAGGTTATTGGACTTGGCCAAGCTTTCATCGGATTTATCTTTTTTTTTAATTGCTGTAATATGTCGCTTGGAGTCTAGACTGTGAGAACGGTATGCTGTTTTCAATTTTTCGTAAGTAAAAGATCGAAAATGTGATTTATTCGGTTTTGGAGTAATTTTGGAAGATTCATTTTCTGAGTTACTTTCCTCCACTTGTTGTTCCGTTTGATCGTTCTTCAAAGACTCCTCTTCAGTGGTCGGGGACGTTTTTGACATATTGGTGGAGTTAATTCCTTTTTTCCCTCTTAAATTATTCTTCTTATTTACTTCATTGGGCTCTGACTTATTTTTAATTCCATTTTTCTTTGAATTTTCAAGTTCTCTTGGAAAAATATAAGGTGTTTCTCTGCGATTCCAATTTTCTCCACTGTCGGCTGTTTTATTTCTTTCGGTCTTCTCGCGGGGATAAACTTTAATTTGTACCTTGGATTCGGGAAAATCATCAGCGCTTCTTGTGTGATAAACTTTATAGGCCTCCTTATCCTCAATGGAATTATTAATTGAGTCCTTAATTGACTCATTGGATAAACTTATACTCTTTCTTTTATAATTTAGTTCTTTTAAATTTATGTTAAATTTAAATTCGTCTCCCGCAACTTTGGGAATCTTGGTCACTAATTCCCTTTTTTTGGGAACTTTATAAGGTCCTTTTGGACGTAGCGTTTTTTTAATATCATTCTTATCCTTTTTTCTTTCGCTTTTATGGATTTCCATGGAATTAAAGAACTCCCATATAGCTTTTTCGAAGGGACTTTTTGGTACCCGTCTTTTTGACCTATTCTTTCTCCTCACTTGTCCTAAGTGGTATCCCATTATATTCCTTGTGATTTTAATACATTCTTCTGCTTCCTTGAAATTTCCTTTAGTTAACATTCTTATTAATTGCAGTTTATAATGTAGATTTTCTTCGCTGGTTTGGCTTGGTATTTGACCGCCATCATGCTCAAAAATCGAGTTTTTTAAGCCGTTGAAACTTTTTTTGAGAAATAAACTGTGGGATCTATGGCTTACCAATTTCCGAATAAGTTTTCTAAACCTTCTTTCGTTGCGAACATCTTTTCGATAATTTTTTTGAAGCTGTCGATTTTGTCTTCGTATAAATTCAATGCACTCAGCGAGCAAGGATCGACTCTGATGCAGGGACATCTTGTGGATCCTCTTAGCGAAAGTGCTCTTTTCCTCTAAAAGATGTTGTAAGCGTTTTTGCAAGCCAAAAGCTTTTGTCTTGTTCCCCTTCATGCGAAGGGTTTTATAATGCATCCGGTGAGGAATAGGTAGACCGGAATTTCGCTTGAAAGCCATGTCAATGATCTTGTTATGGTATCGCAAGTATAAAATCAACAAATTATAGAATGAACAGTAAAATTAAAAAAAAATCTGATGTTAATCTCAAGGTTTCTGCGAAATTCGAATATTATAAGTGAATCGATATTGATGTCAGTGATAACAATTAAAGTAAGACATAATTCAAAACCCATTTCCAACGTCTCAAGTGACTTGAAAACTTCTTTACAACTTCTATAAATTTTTATTAAATTGTTTTTGTAAGATTATTTTTTGTTGGTCTTAGCTGATTTCTTCAGAATCTCCGCCGCTTTGGCCTTGTTGAGACGCATCTGCTCCAGGTCCTTCTCCCTCTGAGGGATCACTTCTACGGTGTTGGGTATCCGAGGACATTTCTCTGGCTTTGGGGCCAGCTGTGATGTAGAAGGTTGTTCCGCATCCGCCACTTCTGATTCAGTCGCAGCCTTTCGCTTTCCGCGTTTGGGGCGAACAGTTTTGGTCTCTCCATTCGCGTTGGCTACATTATCACCCGCTGCCGGAGCTGCCTTTGCCCGTTTTGCGCGTGTCACCTTCTTTGGCTTCTCAGGCGTCTCGGCATCATCGATCTTCCCTGACATCTTGTCAATGGCCAGTTGCACCCGTTTGCTGACCTGTGGCTGCTGAACTCGCAACGCACTCTTTGCCGTGAAGTAATTGAGTATGGAACCTTGGATCTTCTTCTCATTCATCTTTTTCATAACCGGCATGAGGATGTCATCGGTCTTCGAAGTGGTCCAGCCGAAAGACTTTCGCGCGAATTCCCTTATTGACTCCACATCCGGTGTGCCCCAGCTAAATGCATCCCGATTGTCGTCGATGGTGGGTGCCAAATAAGCCTCCACCACTGCCCCGTTGGGGAATCCCTCGTGCAGTTCAATGTTTTTCAGTTTTTTGCGGAGTGAAAGTCGTGCGGAGCTTCCGGGGGGAAGATTGCTGTTCTTGTGCGCCTGCCACCAGTCCCGAAACTTGATCAATGTCTGCAGCACCGATTGATTGCAGGCACTTGGATTGTTCGCATCCTGCCCGGAAAAGGAGGCCAGAATCTCCAGGGCCGTCACAGCACCAATCCCATGAATTCCGGTTGTGTAGTCACTGCCCACCAAACAGGCCAGCTGGATCAGTTTGCCCCTGTTGCAATTAAACGTTTGCTCGATTTGCTCCGCCCGGAACTCCAAAACATGCTTGTTCTGGGCAAAGAAGTTCTTGTAAACAGTTCGACCGCCGAACAGCCAGATATCACTATCGTCTGTTATGGTGCCGTGGGTGAGCTCGGTGGCGTTGAGAAAGGCACATTGCGCCTCCGCCTCCATGGGGGCAACAATGTACGGAATGCCGAAGAGGCGAAGCAGCTCCTGGCAATCCATGCTCATGCGCTGGCTGATCGACATGCCCATGCGGTCCTGCCGGTTGCGCTCGATTTCCAGCTCCTTCCGCTCCTGGGCCAAGTTGGTCGCCATTTCCTGCAGCTCCTCTGAGGTTTTCTGTGACTTTAAAGCTTCAGCGGCATCTTTTATAAGATCCTGGAATAGTTAGAAACAATATTAGTAACATAATATTTAATAATTATATAATAGTGTCTTAATAATTGAAATAGTGAATTCATTTTTTTTAATAACATACATCCACCTAATATTTTTTATACCTACCTCAGGATCTACAGTCTTTTCCTTTTCCGCCTCCTTCGCCTCAAAGAGTGATTTCGAAGCCTTACTGGATTTTTTCGTGGGTGAAACTCCCTCATCGCTATCATCCTGCCCATCATTAGCCCTTTTACGTCCCGACTTAGGTGTTCTTTTTCTGAAGAAGGGCTGGGGAGTCTTGGGTGTTCCCGGTGGCGTTTTATCCGTCGCTGGTGATTTGTCGGGCGTTCGCTTAACCACGTAACTGGTGTCGAAGAAGTCCTTAATGGACTTGTTCTTGCTGGGCGTTTTGTTTGGAGATATGCGATTGTTTTTATTATCATCGCTGTCGCACAACTCAACTACTTCTTCCTTTGGGACGGTGGTTTTCGTGGTTTTTGAGGGCCCTTCATCGTCTGAGGATAATACGATAGAGGCGCTATTGCTTAGTTTGACTTGATCCAGGCTTATGTTCTTAACTTCGGCCATCTTTGTTTTTAGTTCGTCTAATATCGAACTCAGTTCAACCTTTGGTTTTTGTTCTGCCTCCTCAGTTACATTTAGCTGAATATTTTTAACTGCAGCGGTTTCCTTTTTCAGCTCGCTTAGAATGGAATCTAAATCCGGCTTATTCTTAACTTCTGAGGGAATAAGCTCTTGGCTATCTTTCACTTCGATAATTTCATCAATATTTTCCTTAAGGTGATTAGTTTCCGGCATCCTTTTATCTTCGTTTGGTATACCATCATCTTGAGAATCCAATACCATTTCCTCACTATCTTTAACCTCTATAAAGTCATCATCATCATCGCTTTCATTTTTTTTCTTGTTCTCCAGTTCCTTGACCTCCTCCTCAAATACATCCGCAAACAGATCGTTCGAGTCCTTCAAGTCTTCAGTGATGTCAACACAAATCTCAAGAGTCTCTTTACCCTTAACTAGCTCCTGAGTTTCCATAACTTCCTCCAAGTCGGAGTCAGTATCTGTATCTACAATCTCCACCTTATCCTCCTTTAGACTCTTTTTGCTTTCCTCAATCGCTTGGGCGAGTTGCTTGCTCTCTTCGATGGCTTGTGAAATTAGTTTGGCCTCCTCAATCGAGTCGTTTGCCATTTCAGCGGGGACTGTGGTGAGATCGAGAAACTTCTCAAGGCTTTGCGTGTCATCAAGCTGAGTGGCCTCTAAGATGTTGCCCACTTCCTCGTCGTTCATTCCGCCGTATTCAATCATATATGCCCTGGCAGGTCCCTTGGCAGCATGTCGCAATTGCTTGCTCTGCGCCCGATTTAGGCGCAACTCCTGGTCCGAGTCGTACTCATAGTCCTTCTCATCGTACACTTTGGTCTCCTCCATTGACATGGACAGGGCTTTGGCCAAATCCTCATCGAACTCAGTACCTAGGGGAGAACCCTCGCCGGATTCTTTCTTGGTGGAGGTACTCGGCTTCTCATCCTCCTCTTCCGGCACCTCCTCAATCTTCTCTATTTTCACCTCCTGCTTGGTGCTCTCCAAAGCCTTCTTTTTGAGATCCCTGACCAGCAGAAATCGGGTGTGCTCATCGGAGCTGATCTGCCGGGTGCTCTGTTCAATGGCCGTTGGCGTGACGATGCCCTCTTCGCTGAAGAAGTCGCACAACTCCGAATAGGTGAGCGTTGTGCCACCCATCTCCTGTTCGGCCTGCTCCAAGCCCTCCTGTACAGCGCGTCTTTTAAGTAGGCGCTTCATCTGAAAGGAGCAGAAGTCGTCGCTGCGAGCGGGCAACTCGTGCAGGCGGCCCCACGAGGACTGCTTCCGCGTCTCCTTGATGTCCGTGAGGATCTCGTGCCGCACATCGGCGGGCAGATTGCGAAAGTGCTGACTCTTCACATCGATGGCTTGCAGACTGGAGTTGTAGGCATGTCGAGCGGTTGACTCGTCAAAGGAGCTATCCGATGCACTGGCACTGGTGTCCTGCTCGCTGCCCTCGCCGGTGTTATCCAGTCCCGCAGATGCAGCCGGAAGTTCTGGCAGCTTGAACAGGTCATCCTCGTCGTTCTTCTTCGCTGGAGGTGGTCGCTTGATGGGAGACTTGAGCAGCAGCTCCGCATTCTTGCCCAGCGCCTGCTGCACCACTTTCTCCTTGGCCAGAGACTGCAGGAGCAAGGCTTGAATGCGATCCGCCTCGTTGCTGAGCTTGTTCCTCTGCTGCTGGCGGCGGGCCTGGAAAGGTAAACCAAAAGGGGTACAATTTCAAAGGTTTATGCTAGTTTAATCTAATAAATTAACCCACAATGGTGTCCCTTTTGAGCTGAGGCACACATCCATCGAAGATGAACACCGGTCGCACACGATAGTATAGCAACTTGCAGAGGCGGTGGAACAAACCCAGTAAGTGGGCATTGCTCAGGGCCGATCCCTTGTTGTCCTGAAAGCCCTTGACAACCTGATGCAACCAAATGGATATATCTGCGGGATACACACAACTCCAATAAGAACCCACCACTTATTTCGTTAGACGACGAAATCAATGCTTACCCACTGCCAGGATTTTACCCTCCAAAGTATCCACGGGCACTGGTTTGCCGCACGGCTCGATGAGCTTCCACAGGCCCGTAACACCCATTGGTTAAGTATATAAATATGATATAAAACATGCAAGTTAATAAAATATATAACTTTTGCAATGGGGTTGAACTGAAGACGCGGTTTCTATCCGTTTGAACAGCTGTTGGCAGTGTTGGAAAGACACGTGCATAAGTAGCAGTGATGCTCAAAAGAGTGACTTAAAAAACAGTGATTTGTTAATCACACAAATCTTGTTTTCAACTTGTGATTAAAAAAAGGTAACATTATCTGATTATCTTTTTAAGATATACAATTTACACCAAATTAATATTAATTTAACACAGGTTTGCAACTCTGATTCTGATTATATTTAATGTTCTTCATGAATGCTTAATACTAGCTTTGCGCTTAAAGACTAAGGATGATAACGCCTCCTGATAGTTAAGATCCTTTGCGATCACTCAATCGCCTCCTCGGCGACTGCAGTGCTGCTGGCGTTGGCATTTTCGGAGCTGCTCGTGTCCTTCTTGTTAGCCTTGCTCTCCTTCTTATCCTTGACCATTTTGCGGTAGACCTCAAGGTCCTCCGTCAGCGAGGGCACGAAGCTCTCGAAGTCCAGCTCAGCGAGGGTCTGCAGAATGTCCTTGGCGGTGATGGTCTTGTGGTTTTGCTTGTGGGCCAGCGCCGTTGAAGAGGAGGTCACGAAAATGGCAAACACGGATGCTGCCCGGGCGATCGCACCGCGCGCCTCCTTGCTGACACTGGCCGAATCCGGCAGCGATTCCTTGATGAGCCTTGCAATCACAGCGTTGGGCAAGTTGAGATCCTCGATGCGCTCGACCATTTTGCTGCAATTTATCTGCTTATTTTGAATAACAATTTTCGTTCTCCCGTGGAGGCGTCGTTGCTTCCCGCGTAAAGAAAAGTAGAAAACAAAC